ATAGGGTGGGGCAGAACAGAACTTTACATCTTTCTCAATTCTAGCTCACCGGGGGATTCCTTTCAACCACACTGGCTTATTCTGGCAAGGATTTGCAACTGGATATGAAGGTTTTCACTCTGGGGTAGATGGTGTTTAACCATGTTAGAATCACCTGGGCAGCTTTCAACACCTACTCACGTCTGGGCCTCATTTCCGAGCTTCTGACATAATTGGCCTGGAGGATTTTATCAGGCAGGGTTTGACTGGAGAAGTATACCTATATATGAAATTGATCTGTTACAGGGATTTGACCATATGCAATTGTGCGAGTGGGCCAAGCAGTCTCTGCAAGTTGTTGTCTGTGTCTGAAGCTTGAAGTCCACACGACAGGCAGTCAGGAAGAGAAAATGGATGTAAAGTGGGAGATGGGTGTAAAAATAGAGGATCAGCTGGGACCCACAATGATGAACTGAAACTCATGTCAGTTCTTGTTTCTTGTGACCTGGATGGTGTTGGTGTCCTGCGGAAACCAAGGCCCTTTGTCAAAGGGCTAAGCACATACACCTGGTCTAGCAGTCTGAGCAGGTGAAGGAGGATCTGGGGGAGGGTGGATCAGGGGCAGGTCTCGTTGCTGGTTTATGCCAACAAGAGGAGCCAGTAGATAAACCACAGCATATGAGAGCTATAAAATGGCTGCTGCCTCACTCCCCTCTCTCTCCCCACCCTCAGTCTCTCCTGTGGTCCCCCCTAACCAGAAGGGGGAATTCTGGGAAATGTTGTTTATCCTAGCCAAGCTGACATATTACAAAGCCTGGGCACTGGTGCCTTTAAAAGTTTTCCACGTGACTTTCATGTGTAGTGGTCGAGAACCACTGACAGGTGATTCTGAGGTGGAGTTGACAAAGCCCCACAGGTGGTTCTGATATGCCCCCTCCTCTCAAGAGGCATGCATGTAACGCAGTGGACAAGAAACAAGGAGAGATCAGATACCACAGAGACTACTAAGTGTCGAAGCTGGGAGCTGTGTTGCAAGGCGGTAAGGAGGAAGTGAACGATGAAGCAATTAACCACAGAGCTAGACCATGTTTTGAGAAATATGTAAATACCCAGAAATAGTGCAGTTAGAGAAGTCAGCTAGATCAAACAGGTATATTCTCAAGTACTGGGGAAGAATCAGGATTGACTTTGACACCTCTGGGCTGCTTCAGCCCTTTGCTTGTTTCCTGTGTTCCAGTTCTCAGGATTCTACAGCTGCCTGGTGTCAGAGAGCCTGACATCGCCTCCTGTCATATCTGGTTTCTGAGGAATGTGGGGACCATCTTTCGCCTTTTGTGCCCAGCTCACAATGTCTTTTTCACATTTTGTGCCCAGCTCACAATGTCTGTGGAGTATTTAATAGGGGTTCAATCTCTAGTTTTCAAGTTGAGTTAAAATAAGAAGACAGGAGTTCTGATCAAGATGGTGGAATAGACAATCCCCAGCATCACTCTCTCTCACAAATCAACCAACTTACAACTATAAAAATGTAACAGCAGCCAAGCTGGGGCCACTGGAGCTCAGGGGAAGAGGAGGAGAGACCTACAGAGTGCGTGAAGGCGGGAGAAGCCACAATGAGAGAAAGAAAAAAACTGCTCAGAGTGTTTTGGGCTGCAGCTGCTTTAAGGCTGGAACTGCTGAGTGCATGGAGCATGAGCCAGCAGAAGCCGCAGCTGTGCCCTTTGGATGGAGTTGCATGGAGGCAGCAGGGGAGAAGAGGGCCTTGGTGGCCCCCAGGACAGCAAGACCCCTAATAGGGTTCCCATGGAGCCACGCAGGAGCAAGGAACCAGAACAGCTGTAAAAGGGGAGCCATTCAGAAGCCAGTGAATCATCACAAGGGACGGGGGTAGGGCTCATCCCATGGGAAGTGTTTGGAGCACAGGCGGTGGGGGAGACAGGCCCACCAGGAGAACACTGGGACACAGCAAGGACAGCCGATCTGCCCCCCAATCAGTGCAGGACCACTCAGAGGAGACTGGTTGGGAATGCAGAATTGCACGGGGTGCAGTTTGATGAAAAAACTCAGGCCCAGATCAGAGTTTCTACAAAGCTCAGGTGCGCCGGGTCTCTGGCGAGCTGGAAGTACCTATAAGGTCATCCACTAAACCCTGAGCTGCACAAAAAGCCTTCCCTAGGGAATGAGAAAAGCAGCAATTTAG